TGCTTTGACGTAACAGCAGTTGATCTTCAGGCGGGACTTTCAGTATGCCTTCAATCATCTTCTTTAGCTCAAGCACCTCCATGCTCTCCTTCACGCTGAGAAACAGCGTAGTTTTGGCCCGTCGAACCGTGAGGAAGACGTCCTAGAGGAATTAGGCAACCGAGGTTTTAGCACAGGTGCAGAGGAAAAGGCAATGAAAATTTACCAGCAGCCAATAATCCCATGCGGACGTTTTATGCGTAAGCGTGCATGAGTCGGACAGGAATTCACATTTACAGCAAAAAGACCTCCCAGTAAGTTGGGTTGGTCGTAAAGTCGAGCTTACAACATCATCACTGTGCCCATAGTCTACCGCAAAAGAAGTCAAATAAATCTTACTTGATAACGTTCCAACAGTTATTCTTACTGTAAATATTTGCCTGCCCAAGGCGCACGTGCCGGTTGTTAGGGGGGTCTACTGCTCTAGTCCGCAAAATGACATTTAAAAGAGTGGCTGATCAATCCCAATCATGATGGGCGGATGGTTGTTCAGCAGGTACCCTACCTTTTTACAATGATAAGCCACTTCAATTGGTTTCGTTTTCTCCTAGGTCAATACTGCACCAGCAAATGGTAGACTGGCTTCTTCAACAATGAAAAGAGCTGGTCATTAACCGTATTCAGTCTCTGTATAACTAAAAATTTCTCATTTGAATCCAACTATAAAAAACGGCGTCCCGCAGGGATTCGAACTCATAACGACAAGGGAAGGGCTCTGGCCACCTGGGCTACGAGCCCCCACTGGGAGCCGTGAATATAATCACGTGAGTCCAGTTACCTGCCCAACCTACTGCAACGTATGGAATCCACCAAACCTGATACAGTAAACTGACTGACCCAAATGTGATTAAACTTACGGCTCCTGATGGGGCCTCGTAGCTCAGTTGGCTAGTGCGATGGCTGTACTAAAGCCCTCCCCTTGCTGTCGTGGGTTCGAATCCCATCGACGCGCGAGTTTTTCACAGTTGGGTCAAAGTTCTAAATAACAAATGAGATAAAGGCTAGGAGTGTCGATGATCACCACTGGCTATGGGTTCCTAAAATAAAAAACGCCATCTGGTCTTTGGTCCCTCTTGCCGCCTCGCAACAGTTTTTCAGGCGTACAAGAGAACAACCTTATCGTTGAAGGTTTATCGAGTCAGACCTACATGAGATAATATCTTAGAAAAATTCGTTTTACAAGTGAATGTGGCAAATAGCTTCTGCGGATACCTATAGTGTCCCAGTGGCTTAAAACAACTGTGCAACTTTAGCTTCGCCTACCGTCTGACCTCGTGTCCGTCCTAAGGCTCTGAAGACTACACGTACTTCGGTGATCTGGAGCTCTACACCTCGTCGTCACCTTGACAATTTGGCAGAGACGTCGGCTCCGGTTATCATAAGCCTTACACTAGATCTGCACCACAATTGCTCATCATGATTGGGTAGGTAAATTCGGACGCAAAGAGCAAGACAATTACCCTTATCTAGGAAGAAAAATATTCGGAGCTTACTTCGACAGTTGGCACACAAGGCAGATCGCATGCGGACAGAGGTAAACAACGTAACCGAGTTAGTATAGGCCCTGACTACTTGAACACCCAATGGCGGTCACGTGGACCGATTCGAGCCACCGTTTTATTCGGTCGCACTCAATTGTGGTCGGTTAGCGGCAGGTGTCCGGTACATATGACATGAAAATGGCAGCTGTGGGTACACGATAATAGGTCTCCTGAGCAAACACATCCAGCAGGCATCGCAAAAAGTCCTCAGGGCATGCACAATTTGCGAGTTTCTGTGTGAGATGTTTTTGTATTCCAAAAGGCAATATGCAGCAAATTCTTCAAAGAAAACCATATTTTCCACGTTTGTTCTGATCTGCTGGCGCACATCTAGGGCGACGATTCCAACAAATGCAGTGCGTAGTTCAAGGAAGGTCGTAGTCACGTAGACTGAATGGCTTGTTAAGTTAGATCCCGACAACCGCGATTCAACAATTGTAAGAGTACCCGGGCACAAAGTAACAACGGCAGATCTACACGGTCACGGAAACAATTGTGACGCGAGCAACAAATGGCCTATAGGGACGGTGTCTTTAGGTAAGTTTTCACCCTGTTGCCCATCCTATTAAACTACGGCATTGGCCGAATTTTCCGAAGGGCTATATACAATTTAGCGTCGAATTTGCAATAGGATAAATAAAATAGTAAATAAATAAATGATTATTAATAAAGACCCGCTGGGGTCCCATCAATGCTGACTGACTGGCTCGACTAGGTTGGTGATGTTGCTCTGCTATCGCTAGGCTATTCTGACCCATGGGATATAACGTAGCGGGTAAAAGAAGTCGTTTAGTTAGTCGATTTAATCGTTGCGAAGAGAATAAATTTATAGCTATTGCTTGGACTGTAGAAGGACAGTGCTCGTGATTCTGGTTTTCAGACAGGAGTAAACAGCTTCAAACAAACAGACTTAATGTAGCATCGTCGACCCAACCAATGCTGCTAGAGGAGCTTTTGTGAGCCTTCGGACGCGTGAACAGCCCATTTGTAATGCCAAAACCATGACCAACATCTATGTGTACGAGGCATCTGTTCAGTAAGTTCACCGTATGGTTGTTATTTGTGGGCTGTGCATGTAAAAGACGAATGAAAAGTGATCGACCACCGTCGCCCGAGTTTTGTTTGAGCGAATTACACCGACTTCGTAGGATAAGACAGTCGGTACTCGCTGCGATAACATCGCAACGGTACCTCAGGCCATCCCATAAAGATTGCAGTGGTGGCTTTGACACATCCTTCGTCGCCCTCACGCTATTGCCCCAAATCTGACGGCGGCAAAAAGTCTGATGAAATTGGCTCAACGCGGTCTGTCAAGGGTGCTTGGGCCAATGATATCTAGCCCTCGCGGACGGAGAACATGGGGTCAAATCACCAAAATCTGCTGCTCATCGCGTCTGAAGAGGCCGGGAAAGTCAGATATGTGCACAATCACAACAAGCAGAATTAAGGGTCCTGGAACTGTTGGAGGGCTCTCCTTAGCCTCTACTTCAATGTTATATGGGTCGTCAGCCTAGTTCCTGTGACGGAATAAAAAGTAAGTGGGGAAGTCGATCGTCACGCCAAGCTTTGCACAGCTCTCCAGTCAACATTAATCGTTTTCCAGCCGTAACTTACTATTTATCGCGTCAGTTCCGACCTTCGGTAAACTACGACCCAACAGATTGCCACAGACTTGGTAGCCTAAAGCAAGTGGGGGTGTTAAATTACAAGAATTGTACGAACTGTAGTGTCCCAAGGACATGACTGGGAAACAACGAGCGAATGACGCGCGCGATCAAGTAAAGGTCTTAAACATGTCTAAGTGATGAGGCAAGCTGACGACCGAATCAAAAATACCCGGATGTACGGGTCTGGGTAGCGCAGCCGGCTGACGACAGCAGCATAATTATGTCATACGCGACCAATATAAACGAGCGACGACAGTGACTATGATAATATGATGTCTTAATTACCAACGAATCGCGTTTTCTTGGTGAAACATGGTTTTAAAAGCATGCTATTGGTCCCCGGTACTTTTGGCTCGGAAGGGCTGGGGCAAAAAGCACTCCTAAATACCTGCAGTGTATTTCCAGGTGCAGAGTGAAGCCTGCGGACTGAAAGTGATTTAAAAATGCCGAACACCTTAGTCACAAACTGAATGTGACAATTCCTTCATGCCCTATACACTGAAGCAACATATTAATTAATATGTTGCCGAAAAGCAAAATTCCCTGACACTCAAGCTATTCTAAACGGTGAGGCATGAACCTAAAGTTCTTAAAAGACGGCAACAAGAGCGGGGTGTCTAAAGTTTTCTTCGTCAAAATGAAAGAAAATTCGGCAAGAACACACCATAACTCCGAAAAGAGTTGAACGCGAGCAAACCGCTGGCTGCTGAAAACTGTAAGGACCGCCCGCGGCGGGTTTTTAAAACAAAACACTTGTCTCCTGGATTATAGGAAAAGTGAATAACTCTGTGTACACAAAGTGGTTGGCCTGAGGTAAGAGCTGTATATCCCGTGCGATGCTAGTCAGCAGGCATAAGAAACCAAAAATTTGCCTCAGAGTTTGGAGGTAGTTACGCGCGTAACTAAAAGGGCCTGGTTGGGCATGCAGAAGAGAAGAAAACGTCTGAACGAATTAGCAAGTGACACTAAAAGCAATGCGAGGAGAAACAATATTTAAAACCCAAAATAGAAAAGTAAAAGACTCTTGATTCCTTTTATAGAGTGTGATGTATCAAGTGAACCCTACAATACTAAAAATTTTAAGCAGTGATTGGATGCACAGTGTTACAACCCACACGCATCTGTTGGCGACTTTACAACAGGCCTCAGTTTATAAGACGTTCGACTCACTTTAGTTTTTTTAAGGGAACAATAAGTTTGAGCCCTTGAACACAGTGTTCACAGTGTTATGTGTCTTCGGGACTGGCATCAACTTGCTGCAGATGGAAACAACATGCATCAGCTTTCAGTAGCCTTGGAGGTCAGGGATGTGAAACCAACTAGAATCCAAGCAACAATTTCGTCCCGTCTAATGTTAGAAGTCTGAGAGCTGTGCGAGTCCTTATATACTCTACACAGGGCAGATTGCCGTGAGTTGGCCGACTGCGTGTGTAAGAACTAAGCGTCCGTTCGGGAGCGCGTCAGTATCGGTGTGCTATTTACGCAGGGGTGCATGTCTGTGGCAGCAGGAGGGAGTGACTGGCCGAGTGGTAGTCATGTGTTTGGACCGATTAGGGGAGGAATAGGGGGCACATACTCACAAGGGCTCAGGGGTATCAAGCCAGGCCGTCCGACGCGCTTGGTGTGAGGAGAGATTTTGAGGGCAACCGGGAGCCACTGTAGCTGGACAGAAGGTGCCTGAGTTCTAGCCGGTGGGGATAGCCGTGTGTCAACGGACTGTCAACGGTTGTCGCACCCATCGACCGACAAAACGTAGCCTGAGAAGGGGTCACTGGAGCGGTTCCTACATATCCAATTGATTTTTAAAAAGAATTTAGAGGGAACTGAAAAATATTAAACGCCTGGGGTAGTTAAATATAAACGTGAATGCTTCAATTTTGCAGTGCCTGTAATTCCCCTCCAATGTTGTCTTTTGCACCAAACTATGTTTCATTATTATAGTAAGCAGGACAACCATCATTGGAGATAAGAACTTTTTTTGCTTGTGGAAAATAATCTTAAAAGTTGTGAAATGTATCCACCCTTATACCTTTAGCCTGCAATTCTGACGCATTTGGTCGATATTATTAAAAGGATTGTCCCTTTATTTCTTTATTCCTTTTGTAACCTAGGAGTAATTGGGCATTCTGTATTGCTCTTCTGAGCAAAGTCCGTTCGAATTACCAGCACGTTTTAGATTTTTGTCTTGTGTGGGATTCCATTGTATTTTTCGTTGGTTAAGTAGTTCGACTAGTTCATTAGCGTTATATTGCTTTCACAGTTTGATTCTGTTACATTCCCTCTTTAACTTATTGGCTAACAACCCGGACTTCCTGATCGCCCTTGCACTTGTTAATGGACATTTATCTCTAATAAACTGCGGCATCGGCGGCAGTTTGCGCCTGGCTCACGCCTACCGTTAACCTTTGAATTTCCGCATTTGCTGATGTAATAATTGAGTTTATTTCTGTTTCTCGATATGAATAGGGAGCTCAATGGCGGAAGCCTCATTCCCTTAATAAACTGACTTATCGAAATTTAGAAGCCATTTCTCCGACCACGCTTGCAGTCGATGAAGATTATTTTGAAGTGATCTCTAATCATTCGGACCCTTAATGACCTGCCAGAGCTTAACATCGTCTGCAAACATTATTTTGCCGCAGTCGAGTTCCTGAAGGCTGTCATTAACATAAAGGATGAAGAGCAATGGTCCCAGAACTGAGCCTTGAGGCACACCACTGGTCACATTCACCCATTCTCACATATCATCCCGATACAGACACGTTTCCGACCAAATAGGAACGCCCTTATCCAGTCCAGAAGATCCCCCGGATGCCGATGGTGCTCAATTTGTGAAGGGCGTTGGTGTGGAACAGTATCGAAAGCTTTGCGGATATCAATGTGCACGACATCGACCTCAAAACCCTCTTCTAGAGGCCTGGTCCAGATCTCCAGACAAGCAAGCAAATTTGAGAGGCAATAACGTTCTCTCCGGAAGCCATGCTGAAAATCCTGCAAGATGTTACTTTCTTCACAAAATTGTTGTATAGCGCTCGTTACTAGAGCTTCCATCGTTTTGCATGGGAGCCGAGTTAAGCTTGTTGGCCTGAAGATGCTTGCTGTCATCCTGCTGCCTCCCTTATATAAGGGAACGAGGTTAGCTGTCTTCCACTGCAATGGCAGCCTTCCTGTTCTCATTGACAGCTCAAGGAGAGTCGAAAGAGGCTTTGTCAGCCCTACTGATAGCTCCTTAAGTATCAGACCACAAATGCCGTCGGGTCTAGGAGACTTAGCTGGTTTTATTTGACTGAGGACGCGTCTTACTCCTTCAGCGGAAAAGGCAACGGTTTCAATGATGGCAGTATCTTGGCGCCTTTGAAGCTCCAAGCTGTTCTTACATGCTATGATAGGACCCCACGGGTCTTGTATAAAAATTATTATTATTTCAAACTTCTGACTGAAAAAAACAGAGACAGTAATTGCACTTTCTGTGGCCTTTCAACTAATAAGTTTCCGAGGCTACCCTTTAGACATGCAATTTCGTCCCTGTGTTTTCTCCTTCTGCGGATGTACGTCTAAACCTACTTGGGACACGTAATCGATTCTGCTATTAGTTGCGCTAATCCTTATATCCGGCGAATGACATTGGATATCGAAGACGCAAATACTTTAATCTGACTTATCTGATTTTACCACTAGGCCAGACTTGATTTGCCTCGCACGGGAACGGGATGTATTTGACGCAGTTTGATTAACTAAGTCATTATTTTGATCCACGGAGGTCGATTACGACTCTAGGTCTAGTTCATATTTTACTGCTATGATCCAACGACCTGGTAAAAATGGGAGCAGCATTCGAACAATTGTCGCTTCTTGGAGATGTTTTGAAAGTGAAGGATTTCAAATGAACAAAGGATAATGTACTCAGATGAAGAGCTAGGTGCAACAAGGGTAGCCGCAGATACGGAAAAAAAGTCGGCTGACACCAGATGAATGATCTAGCCGAGAAACAAATTGCAGATGATTAGCATTATGGGATGTCTGGGGGTTGGCTAATAAGGGGAAAGACTTCGTTGCATTTCAATTCTATTTCGACCAATAAAAGGGTTATTTCCCCTACTATATTGAGCCGGACGATCCAAATAGGATGAAATTAAGTACAATTCAATTCAATTATTTTATTAAAGACCCGTCGGGGTCCCATCAAAGCTAGTAAAAATAAATTTACATGCGAATTTTGGACGAGGTAGGCAAAATCTGTACAAAGTGCAATACATAGTTTTTGAGATTAGGAGTCCGTTAAGCAAAATGAAAAAGGAGGGGTGAAAAGAAAACTCCATAGCAAAATTTAAAAATGATTGTAGTAATTTAACAGGAGCAAAAAAGCCCCCTTAGAAAAATAGCATCAGAAAAATGCAGGGAGGACTGGCCTGCATGTGGCGGTATAGAATGGAATATAGTCGGACATCAACATGGCCGAAATAAATGTCAGCTGTATATAGCATTGTGTAACGGATTTCATAAAATGGTACGTAGACGGGTCGGTCAGGAGTGGCCTGTATGTGGCCTTGAATAAGATAAATAAGTGGCGAAATTGAAAACCAGTCTCGAGCTCATAGGAACCCAGATGCGGTCGGTTAAATTCATCCGAGTCTAACCGAGGATAGGGGAAGGGAGATGCGACCAGACTACTAGTATATGGCGAATACAGAAGGTTTCGCCAAGAGCATCGATGGTGCGCATTCTGTGAGGGCACGATGCATGAACTGAAAAATGTGAATAATTAACATTTCTGTTGAGGGATCATAGGAAGCGAGACTACTCATAAAGGAAGGAAACGTGAACAGATACGGAAAGTTAATGGCGGCATGCTAAATTCCCGGCGGCCCTTTCTCAGTGTCATAGAAAAAGTTGTCTGGGAAGGATGAGGAAAATAAAAGTTTAATCGAGTCAGTATTCAGATAAAGGCGTAGCCTTCTCTTTAAGGTGTGTAGATATTCTGAAGATCTTATATTAATTGGAAGGTTATTCCAGAGGAAAGTATACCTGGAAGCGAGAAAAGGGAGCGCTTAGAGGTGGAGAACGCTGGAGGAGGTATTATTAGAGACGAGTTGCGAAGATTGTATGGGTGGTTACTAGGGGTAAGTGTTGAAATCCGAGGAAAATTTGAACTATGATTAATGCGAAAGAGGAGACAGAAGCCCGCTTCTAGTCTTCGAACCCATAAAAATTCTAGGTCATTTGCTGGCATCTATCTGAGTAGGAGATGTTGGCATGTTCCCTATCTAAAAGTTTTTTAGAAAAACGTCTTTGGACATCTTCAATTTTTAAACGACTGTCTTCATTCATCAAACCAAAGAATGGGCAACAATACTCGAGAATGGGAAGTATAAACATACGACAGAGCCTTAATTTAATTTCAGGAAGATAGAAATTGTAAGAAATAAAGCCACAAATCTGGGCAGCTTTGGCTGTAATTCTGTCAGCGTGCGGCGAGAGATCAAGATTACTAGTGTAGCTCAAACCTAAATCCTTGATGGTGGTACATTCAGTCATAGGTGTGCCTTGAAAGACCACTGGTTGGGGTAGCCTATCAGGTCCAAAGCACATATAGCGACATTTAGACGGAGAGAATTCCATTAGCCATTTTCAGCTCTAAGCTGAGAGAGCAAGCAAGTCACCATGGAT